GAATGAACAGTAAAAGCAGGTTAAATCATTAACCAGTTAGGGACGGGGAAGCAGCTGTAAAAGGAACAGAGGAAGAAGGCCAGATTATTATTTTTTTTTTTTTTTTTTTTTTTTTTTTTTTTTTTGTTTCCTTTCCTTGTCTTCTCTCCTGGTCGCCGCCGTGCCCCGATCACAAGCCCTGCTTGGCCAGCGAGGCGGACACCTCGTCGGCTAGCGTGGCCAGCTGGGGGGAGTCCACCAGGTTGATGCTGCCGGTGGAGGAGACGTTGCTAAGGCGGCGCGGGGAGGCATCTCCGGAGATGGTGGGGGACTTGTAGACGATTTCAGCGCCGTGGTCGGTCTTGGCTTTGGCGTTCTCGCGGAAGGTCAGCTTGTGGGTCTCAATCTGCGAGGAGAGGGGAGGGCGGTGAGGGGGGCACGGCCGGGGGGGCTGCTGGGACCTGCCACGTGCCTGCTCCAGCACGGCCGCTGAGAGGTGGGAGGAAAGCTCAGAGCACTGAACCAGTGTCCCCAGTCCTGAGGGATGTCCCTTCCAGTCCTCAGGGATGTCCCTTCCAGTGGCCTGCACAGGGAACGGGCACAGCCGGAGGGGATCGCAGGACCGGAGCATCTTGGGATGCTGCAAAATCCTCCCCAGGTGTGGTGGTGGGTCCCAGGACTCCAAGGGCACAGCCTGGGTTGCTCTCACTCCCCCAGCAGAGATTTTGGGGGGGGTAGAATTCCCATATGGCGCATGAAGCTTCCCCTTAACCCACAGAGCTGCTCTCAGAAGCCAAACCCCTCTCCCGGCGAGCGGAGGTGAACTGGACGGGGTTTGCTACTTACTGGTGCCCTCCCCAGCCGAGTGCAAGGCTGGGAGCTGGCTCTCCATGAGGGTGGGCGGCTCCAGCACCAGGGCCTGGAGCCCAGCAGGGTCTGGGCTCGGGGTCCAGGTCTTGTCTTCCTTGCCTTTCTCTCTCTACAGGTGAAGAAACCCGCCCAGGGCGGTGGGGGGCAAAAAACGCATCAGCAACAAAAACCACGACCCAATAAATGTCAGCCAGAAGGAAAAAAGACCAAAAATATAGAAAAGAAATAGAAAATTGTGGAGAAAAAGATCTGAAAAACAGGGCCATTCACTGACTCATAGGAAGAAGAGTGGCTGCCTTTGGAGCTGGGGAGGAAAACTCTCCAGGTGTGCCAAGGGAGAGCACAGGCACTGTGGCACAGCACGGAGCACCCTGGCTCCCCAGAGAACCCCCACTGCCAGAGCAGCACAGGAACCAGAGTTCAGCTTGAGGAGCTGTGGACTGCAAGTCCAAGCCTGGATCTGTGTGTCACACAGCAAAGAGGGGACTTGGGGACACAGGAAAGGCTGGGGAAGGGGCAGCAGAGCCGCCCACAGCTGCTCTTTGTGGAGGGTTGGTGGGGCTCAGCTGTGTCCCGTCCCCTCCCCGTGTTCCACCTTGGAGCAGCACTGCCCCAGGATGATCCTGGTGTGGATAGGAATGGGCTGGAGAAGGGAAGCAATCTGAGGCAGCACCTGAACTCGGTTACAACCACAACCTCCTCCAGGTGTGGGTTTAGGCCGAGGTGGTGATGTCACTGCTGGGTCACACCTTTGGAGAGAAATCACTCTACAAAGGGCAAGCCCTTCAAACTATGGCCCAGTGAATGTGCTGGGATGTGACAGAACTGTCACAATAACCACAAAACCCATGGCAGAGGGCTCAGGGAAGCACAGGGGAGGCTGATGCGCAGCAGAGAGAAGGGTAAGGAAGTCAAGCGGTCCCGCAGTCAGAGGCCGGCTGGAGGTGAGAGCTGGGGGTGCACAGAGAACATGTGGCCAAGAACAAAGTGCCAAAATACAGGAGCTGAAACAGAACCTTCCTCTCCCACTGAGAAAAAAGTGCTCGAAAAACAAGCAAGATAAAAGTGCTTTTTTTCCCCTGGGGAGATCGACCCCTGTCTGTCCCCAGGCTGGAGTCTCAGCTCTATGCTTACCTGATGTCCTCACTCCCTGGCCTGCTGGGGACTTGGTGGCCTTGAAGCCAAGCTGTGGGGGTTGTTTTACTCAGCTAAGACTCACTGAAGTTGCCATCAAAGCCTCAGTGGGAACAGCTCACCCCAAATTCATTGTTTCCCTGACCTGAGTGGCTTTTGTGTTTCAATTTAAGTCCTCCACAAGCACCCCCTCCCTACACAGACCCCTTGGCTAGGAAGGAGAGATCACCTTCTGAAGGGCCAGACTGCTGCAAAGTCACCTGTTCTAAATAAAGCTGAGCTTTAAAAGCTCCACTTGCACTGGGATCCAACACCTCTGCAGCTCCCGAGCTGCCACTGCACCAACCCAGAGTGCACAGGAGCTGCTGCTGGTGACACTCCTTCATGAGAAAGGTTTGAGACACAAACACGAACTTCAGAGACGGCAGAAAGAGCAGGAAACCACAGCAGAGGCTGTCACTGACACCCCAACTCATCCGTGTGGCCACGGGCCAGGAAGGGCCCAGCCTGGAGCCCTGGCAGCTCTGCCACAGCTCTGCTCCAGCAAACGTCCCCTGGGTTGGGACAGGCAGCCCAGGAGCCCTGAGCAGGACCCTCTCCAAGCCCAGACTCCCACCCATCTTCACTTGCACAGCCAGACAGAGCAGAAGGTGCCTGTTCCCAGCCCAGTGCCCCTTTACCTTTTTATTCCCTCCTCCAGGGACGTGGCTGATGTTATCTAAGGACCCGATTTTCGATTGCACCTTATCTTTGAAGTCCAGTTTCTCAGATTTCACCTCCACCTGGCCACCACCTGGAGTAAAGAGCAGGGGCTGGGTCAGCAGCCGGGTCACTGAGGTCTGAGCTGCTCCAAGGAGACTCAGCCACAGCCCTCTGAGGCTGAGCAGAGGGTGAGGCCCGGGGAAACAGCAGCAAAAGGGACCCCGTGATGATTTGGGAAACCCAGGAGTCAGGGCAAATAGGAGTCAGGGTAAAGAGACCTACCAAAGGACGCTCTGCAGAGCTGGCACACCCCCCAATGTTTTACAGAACTGAGGGCAGGGAGCTGACCTTGATCCCCTAAACCAGCAGCCCCCTGTTTATTCCTAAATACATCTCACATGGATGTGTTGGCACAAAGGTATCC